ATGGATGTAACGATCGGTCGATTCCCACTGTTAGTACTTTAGATCGGAGGACGCTAGTTGGTAGATTTGCTTTCGACCAGGCATGACCCAAGCTGTTTGCTATGCCCGCATCGGCTAAATAGCCGATCGCCCGCACTTTAACGCTTATAGTGTGTTTTCATGATCCTATTAAATGTGAATAGATCTGTTTATTTTAAAGGTTTGATTTGTTGTCTTTATCATGGCTACCATCGGTCTGGTCGAACCCCACTGTTAAGGATAATAGGTTAGGTCTGATGAGTTTATAGATCTGTCCATGTTAAATAGTCAATTATTCACATGCTGTAATCCCTCTTCTACCCGAATCGGCTATTTTGGCCGATTCGCATGTGCCTCCACAAGTGTAGCCTGTCTTTTAGAAAACCTGTCAATGTATAGACGATTTTATGGATTCTTTGGCTTTAGTTTGTTGTTATCATCATAGCTGATCGATCCGGTCGAACCTCACTATTGATGGTAACAGATTAGATTTAGAGTGTTTATAGATCCGTTCATACTAGATAGTCGATTTGTTCGCATATTATATCCTTTCTCGTTAAACTCATCGGCACAATGCTTTACACCGGTTATATTTATTTAGCTGATGATGTTACTTATATCTGGGTGCATTGTACTTATTATCATAAATCAATCGCGACCCACGAACATCGCAGTCCTTAACAGCCGATTTCGTCTCATATCGGCTATTTTGTCGATTTTTCTGTCTGGCTGCTGCCAAAGCGGCGCACTTGGAACTGTCTGGGCAAAACCAGCATGTTCCACCTTAAATTACTGATAAACTTTCTCTTCTTGTCAATTATAGGTCAAATTGATTGGCACGCCTTCGTGAATTCGCAGGGTCGACTGGTCCTGCGTTGAAGCCAAGCGGATCTCTAGCCTTGCCCCATCAAGCAGATCCTTTTGGCTTGCTGTGTGCCAGGCACATCGACACGTTTTTGCGCCGATAGCAGGACATAAGCACAAATACAAGGGAAAATTCACTAAAAGGCGCTTTCTAACGCTGATTCGCGTAAAGAAACAATGAAGACGCCCATCAACTTGACACAGCTGGCCAAAGTACCCACCAAGTAGTGATCCAAATCCAGCCCACAGTCCGCCACGCGAAGGCGGTGGTGAGGTGGCTTGGTCAGGGGGCGGCTGACCCCTAGGGGCAGGCGACCCCCTGCCACTCCTCTTAGCCACCCCTTTGACAGGCGGTGGCATATGGACATGCTAAGGCGGTGTAGCCCGGGACTTCGCACCAAGAATTGCTAAAGCACCACCCTTGCTCCTTGTATAAATAGAGGGGTACCCCCCCTCTACAACACACACAACATTTAGCAACACCTCACTCCCCTCTCTAGTATTTGGAGCTCTACCTTTGTAGTAGTTTAGAAGCAAGGCAAAGCTACCTTGGAGAGTTTGGCTCCTTGGAAGAAGAGACCTTTGGGTATGAATAGAAATATGAGTTCTTCCAAAGTGATGCGCTCATATTATAATAGTCATACTTATGAACTAGAGTATAGTTGTTATGTTATAATCTTGATATATGAACTAGTCTATAGTTTGTGTATCATGAGAATAGCATACATGACTTTATGCCTAACTACTCATATAACTTATATAATTGGAATTAGAGCTAAGTTGAGGTGGCGGTTCATCGTGCTTTTGGGTGTGCCCAAGTCCTTTACCTGTCAATCCATAGGGTCGGGGACCCGGGGGATTTGGGTAGTTTATGTATACGCAAGCGTGGTGCATGGGTATGGAGAGATAGGTGAATGCATTGTCCCTCTTCACGGTTGAGGTGGTAGGTGGCAGATGGTGATAGCCCTGTCCGTCCCTTGTAATCCCCCACGTTCGTTTGGGGTGTAGGAGTCTAAATTGTCACATGAGGTTGCTAGCAGACTAGTACTCGATGGCCTCCCGACCTGCTTCACACTTAGCCCTAAAACTAATTATGTAATTTGTATGATCATTAACTGATCTTTGTATGACTATACCAGACAAATGCCTGCTCGACTTAGATTATTCTTTTATTCTCTTTCTTTATTTTATCCTTTGAGGAATGCCAAGTGTGTGTCCACTATCTTGAAATCACCGTTTTTACCCCTGCTATAAACATTGGTGCACTTGCAAGCATTATTATTCAAGTTCATATCTATACTAGACTCTTAATCAAATGGCTTCCTTTGAGAAAATATAAATAATGATACTCTAAATACTTCTGGGTGAAATGCTACAATGATAGCTCCGTGCGCTTGTGGTTAAATATCTAAAATTGTTAAGAAACCATCAAGGCTATTACTTAGTGGCATTGCTAATCACTAGTAATGTTGCTAAGTAATACCAACGAGCCACTTCTAACGCCGTTGTTGGGACACAAACCTAGTAACGACGCTCAGTATTACCAATCGGTGTTTCTGGCGCCATTGTCGGGGATGGATTCTAACCCCATTCTTAGTCGTGACGCTAAAAATGACAACAAACATTTCTGGCGCCGTTACCGGGGATAGATTCTAACCCCATTCTTAGTGGTGACCCTAAGAAATGCCAACACATGGCTTGTGGATCCTCATCTTATGTTGGTTGTGCGGCACCCGGTTGCGGGTTAGGCGTGTGATGCTTATTAGCGCGTGAACCTCCAAGTGAGTGAATCGCCACAACGAGGACTAGCTTGCCGGCAAGCAAGTGAACCTCAGAGGAAAAATTGATTGTGTCATCATTGTCTCCTTGATATTTTTTGGTATTGATTGATTGATCACTTGCCACGACGGTATATCACTTCTACCACTCTTGCATTACTTTGTGTAGTGCTTGTGGTAGTTGTAGTTAGTATAGCTCATTAGTTGTAGTTCTCTAGCTAGTTTGTTCACTTAGGTGTAATTTAGTGACCTAGCTCTTGTGTGATATACTAGAGATCATATAGATTAGAATTGGGTAGGTGGCTTACAACATAAGTGTGGTGCAAGGGTAAAATTCGCTTCGCCATCTTATTTACTAATCACTTATCTTAATATTATTGTAGAATTTTTTAAATATGCTATTCACCCTCTCTAATCATTAGAACCTTCAACGTGTTTTTTATATGCTGTGGCGCAAGGAGGGGGCTACGGGGTCCAAGCACCCTCAACCTCCTGGATGCTCTTAATGAGCTAATAAAAATAATAATTACTAATTAGTGCTTTATTTGTTTGTCCTCTCCTTTTTTTTTGTTAAACTTTAATAGTATCTTTATGATTTATGACTAATATTCATGTTATATTCTCGTCTATTTTATTCTTGTTATTTTTGTTGTTTTTTTTTCAATATGACATCCTAGTTGGTCTGCACAATACACGTCCAATTTAGCTAGTTACGATTTAAATTATTTCTTGTTTTGTTATTTCCTTCCTATCAATCTGTAGCGTCTATATGCTTTAAGATTATCTTTGTCTATTGTCTTTGGGTCTTCCCTTTTGTTTGTGAATTAGTTAGTTGGATGGAGATTAGAGACTTTGGGTTAATTATTTTTTTCTCTCCCTTTTCAGTATAGTTCTAGACTTTTAACTTTCCTTTTTATCAAAAAAACAAATGTTGATTTGATTATTATCTATACTCTTGCCAACTCAAAATATATAGGAAAAGTTCTATTTTTGGCCCCAAACTTTTGTTGAACTCTAAAACTAGAAATGCGCAGCCCTCCAACTATCAAAATCGGATAACTTTAGTCCTTGGCTGGTTTCAAAGGTAGTCTCGAGTATATATATTTTTTAAAATCATAAAATAATAGGTAAATCTCTTAAATTCATAAATAATTCTTTTTAAATCAAAATATATAAGATTGGTTCCAAATTTTCTATAAAAAATAATCTATCTATTTAAGTAAATTACTTATGAACTTTTAGAAATTTAAATATTATTTGAAATGACCAAAACCAAAGTTATAGATCTTAATGAGATCAATAACTTTATAGTTGATGACTTTTTCATATGAAATCACTTAAACTCCTAAAATTCTGTGTAGAGTTCTCAATTTTTTTTGAATTGTTCAAACGAACTCAGGTGGAGAAATGAACAATACAAAACATCAACAACTTTGTAGTTATTGACTTTTTATTTGAAATCATTATGGTTCCAAAAAAAATTTCGGACTTCACATATTTTGAAATTCAATTTTTTTCCGAATTATTTGAATGAACTTGGATGAATAAATTACCAAGACCAAAGTTATAGATATTAATAAGATATATTTTTTAGAATTTTTTGCACTAATTTATATTTTTCTAATTTAAAAAGAATTATTTGTAAATTTTAGCGATTTAACTATTATTTTCATTATTTTTAGAAAATACTCAAAACCACCTTTGAAACCAGATAATGGCCAAAGTTGTCTGGTTTTACTAGTAAAAGAGTTTGTCTGGTTTTAGAGTTCAAAAGTGCTAAATCCGGACTTCGGCCTTGTTTATATTCCAAGTTTTTTCACTTTCTCTCCATCACATCAAATCTTTTGCATGGAGTATTAAATATAGATAAAAAAATAACTAATTACACAGTTTAATTGTAAATTACGAGACGAATCTTTTGAGCCTAGTTAGACCATAATTGAACAATAATTGTCAAATACAAACAAAGGTACTACAGTGCCGAATACTGATTCCTAACCGCGAACTAAACAAGGCCTTCAACAAAAGTTTGATGGCTAAAAGTAGCGCGTATGTAATGACCTGATCTGACATAGCGTGTTTCAGTGGGACAGGTTTTTTATGGGATTCTTTTTCAATCTGCCCCGATTCAAACGGGACGGTATAGTGAACAAGTATCTCCGCGTATCAGTTTCAACAATGCAGCTGGCAGTCCATTCAACAACGGACGACTAACGGTAGACAATTGATCACACTACATGACTACAACCAGTGGGCGACTAACGAGTGGTACCACTTGAATACCTGACCTCTCGAGAGAACTGGCCAAGACGCTTCCATACTCCTACCACCGGAGCGACCATGCGCGGCTCGGTAGCAGCTTTCGTGCTGCTGGTGACCAGCAGCTACTTCCTCGTGATCGCGCAAGCGCTGCAGCAGCCCCAGCCTGCAGTTGCTCATCACGCTAGTATTGGCGTGAGCTGCAGGCCTCACGAGATGGAAGCGCTCCTGCAGTTCAAGCAAGGCGTCACAAGCGACCCAGCAGGCTTTCTTTTCTCGTGGAGACAAGAAGGGTTCCATGGGCAGGAGGACGACTGCTGTCACTGGGCAGGCGTCTGGTGCAGCAACCGGACTGGCCATGTCGTCGAGCTTCGACTTGGCAACTCCAACCTCTATGATGGCTATGCTTTGGTCGGGCAGATAAGTCGTTCTTTGCTTTCTTTGGAGCATCTAGAGTACCTAGATCTCAGCATGAACAGCTTAGAGGGCGCCACTGGACAAATTCCAGAGTTTTTAGGCTCTTTGAAGAACCTCGAGTACCTAAACCTCTCTGGGATACCTTTTTCTGGCAGAGTGCCTCCTCACCTCGGCAACTTGTCAAAGTTGCAATATCTCGATATTTCTAGTGGTGCTGATACATTCTCTGTGGACATGTCATGGCTAACACGTTTGCAGTTTCTAGATTATCTTAACCTCAAAACAGTAAACCTCAGCACAGTAGCTGACTGGCCTCATGTAGTAAACATGATTCCTTCACTGATGTTCCTCGATCTTTCTGACTGCATGCTTGCTAGTGCAAACCAGTCACTTCCACAACTTAACCTTACTAATCTTAAGTGGCTAGATCTCTCTAGAAACTACTTCCACCACCGAATTTCGTCATGCTGGTTCTGGAACCTAACAAGCCTTGAGTACCTTAACCTTGCATTCACCGGCACGTATGGTCAACTTCCTGAGGCGTTGGGAAGCATGATACCATTACAGTTCATAGATTTATCGTACAATAAAATCAGCATGCCCATGGTAAACCTGGAGAACCTATGCAGTTTGAGAATCATACACCTTCAGTCATGCTTCTCATATGGAAATATAGAAGAATTAATCGAGAGGTTGCCACGATGTTCACAAAACAAGTTGCGCGAGTTGAATCTGCAGTCAAACCAACTAACAGGGCTGCTACCAAATTTTATGGACCATTTGACCAGCTTAGTCGTTCTTGATCTCAGTTGGAACAACATTACTGGACTACTCCCAACATTTTTGGGAAATTTCACTTCTTTAAGGAGGCTGGACCTCACTGGTAACAATTTTACCGGAGGCGTACCATATGAGATTGGTGCGCTCACAAATTTGACCAGCCTAAATCTACAGTACAATGGTTTCGACGGTGTGATCACAGAGAAACACTTTGGTGGTCTAAAGAGCTTGCAGTACCTACATGTATCTTATACTTCCTTGAAGATTCAGGTCAGTTCATACTGGCAGCCTCCCTTTAGACTACTGTCTGCTGATTTGGGTCATATCCAATTGGGTCCTCTGTTCCCTTCCTGGCTGCGATGGATGGTGGACATATATTTTCTTGATATTTCAAGCGCGGGTATAAATGACGGGATTCCACACTGGTTTTCGAACACCTTTTCAAATTGTTCATATTTGAACCTAGCAAAAAATCAACTCACTGGAGATCTGCCAAGAAATATGGAAATCATGTCGGTGGAAAGGCTCTATCTACATTCCAACAATTTAACTGGTCAAATACCACCACTGCCACAAAGCCTAACCCACTTGGACATCTCCATGAACTCTCTGTTCGGACCTCTGCCCTTAGGTTTTGTAGCTCCAAACCTAACAGAACTGTCTCTATTCGGCAACCGCATCACGGATGGTATTCCAAAATATATATGCAGGTTTAAGCAATTGATGGTATTGGACTTAGCCAACAACTTGTTTGAAGGAGAGCTTCCACCATGCTTTGGGATGACAAACATTATGACTTTAGAGTTAAGTAACAATAGTTTGTCTGGCGAATTCCCTTCTTTTTTGCAAAACACCACAAACTTGCAATTCCTTGATTTAGCATGGAATAAGTTCTCTGGAAGATTGCCAATATGGATAGGAAACCTAGTGGGATTGCAATTTCTACGGTTAAGGCACAACAAGTTCTCTGGGAACATTCCAGCGAGTTTCACAAACCTTGGATGCCTTCAATATTTGGATATGGCGGAAAATGGTATTTCTGGTTCTTTACCTAGACATATGTTAAATTTAACAGCAATGAGAGGGAAATATTCGACAAGAAGGTACCCTATACGTCCATTATTTTGTAGCTATTACAACATACCAGAAGAATATCATAGCGTTAGTTTGTCTACAGTTACAAAGGGGCAAGACCTTAACTATGGTTCCAGTAGCCATATTTTGGACATAAAAATGATGAGCATCGACTTGTCTTTAAACAATTTATCAGGTGAAATTCCAGAAGAAATAGTCACTCTTGATGCACTGCTGAATTTGAACCTCTCCCATAACTACTTCACCAGAAATATTCCTAAAGAGATTGGAGAGTTGAAACTACTAGAATCACTTGACTTCTCCAGGAACGGCCTTTCTGGGGAAATACCATTGAGTGTGTCAAATATGGCATTCCTGAGCTACATGGACTTGTCATACAACAATCTTACAGGAAGAATACCATCTGGATCACAGCTTGACAGCCTCTATGCATCAAATCCATATATGTATACTGGCAACATGGGTCTCTGTGGGTATCCTCTCACAACGGTATGTTCCAACAATGATACATCAATGCAAAGTCCTTTGGGAGGAACTGAAGAAGGTTCGGATTTTTTCTACCTCGGGCTTGGATGTGGCTTCATAGTGGGTATTTGGATGGTTTTCTGCGCCCTGTTATTCAAGAAACGATGGAGAATTGCTTGCTTCACCCTCTTCGATAAGTCATATAGCTAATGGAGAATTGTGGTTATTACTTGGGCAAGATTGACAAGAAAGATATTAGATATATATCCGTAAATTACGTTGCTGAAGTAAGAAAGGTGAACATTCCTTGGCTCCTTGCACGGTATCAGGACAAGTGTAGTTGTGTCCCTTCTTGTGTTTCATTTTTGTTTGAAGTGAAAGTAAGATGTGGGCATGCATTTGTAGTACAAGGATGTGTCTTATCTGTTTGTATTGTTAGTTTGTTACTCAGCAAGAAGTACAAAATATGACTGGTTGTTACTCAGTAAACATCCTGATTGTATGTTAACTCGTAACTTATTCAGCCAGAGAGTTACATTACTGAGGTAGCCAAAACATTACATATATGTTTTGCTTACCGGTTACCAGTACTCCTCAAAAGCATTTAAGCCCAGCATTACGTGTTAAGTTTAGTCCCATATCGGTAATCGATGGTGGGAGAGCACAATATATAAGGCGAGGGCAGCCCTCACCTATCAGGCTAGTCTTTTGGGTTGAGTTAGGCCTAAGGTCTTAGTATGTTGTGGGCTCCGGTGGACTTGGACTCGAGGGGCGCTAGCTCTTGTGTATAGCGGGTCAGATCGGATTTCGCTGCGCACTCTAATAAGTGGTATCGAAGCCCATGGTTGAAAAAACTAGAATAATCTCAGGGGTCACATGGAAGCCCATGGTCGGAAAAACTAGAATAATCTCAGGGGTCACATGGTGACTTGTGGAGCCTGTTAACATGTCCTACATCGTTAATCGATGGTGGGGAGCACAACATTTAAGGAGGGGGCAGCCGGACCTACACTCGAGGGGCGCTGGCTTATGGGTATAGCGGCCGGGGGTTTGGGGGGGGGGGGCATTGCGCATCCCAAATAACCTATAATTAAGGCTAATTTTTGAACCATGGTTTGTAGTGTGCAAAGGTAAATATCAGTTTTCTCAATGACTTGCGTAAGCTGGCTGAGGTTTTTTTTTAAGACAGCGTGAGCAGGTTGAGTTTGGGTCATATCCAATAGCAAAATTTGGATATTGCCATAATTTAATTAGGTGGAAACTTTTTATTTTTAAGGAAACAGAAGAGACTGAGGTTACTGCTGAAATTAAATTAAAATTAAAGGAACAAATAAATACAAAGGGAGTTTATAACAGACAAAAATGAAAGAAACTTTTTTGGTGCAAAAATAACTATCAAACTTTGGTACACTTATATTGCTTGTTTTTGCGAATTACATAAGTACAGACGACGCTCAACACGCATCCGCCTCGCTGTCGACAGGAACGTCGCCTACTACTGAAAACACAACACCGTTAAATTCTGGAATAAATCCAAAGAAGAAAATACGAGCACATGTGCTAAGTCGAGGACTTAACTCGGGCGAGTAGGTTCCACCACAAAAAATCTAACCAACTGAGCTAGGCTTAGTTCGCTTATATTGCCTATTTGGTGTGAACCTCTGCAAGAATTTCTTGGCTAGTGAAAAGGTCGACAGCGAAATTCCAAGGTCAACACTGTAGATTGTCCATCAGCATTGATTACGGGTCTTGGGTTAGTGGTAGCCGTGTTTTATGGGCATGCTAGTCCAGCAGCCAGTTCGGTTGGCTGGTTCGTATCGTTGCTGGTTCGTTTATATGAGAGAGAAGTACTACTGGTTGGTTTATGTGAATAGTGCCCATGTGAGGGGGCTCGCTAGCCAGCCCAGCCAGCTAGCCCCAGCCGAACGGACCCCCCGTGCCAGCTGGTTTGCATCCGTCTCCAAAGTCGGGTCACAGCACTGGCGTCCGTCGTTGCCCAATTCGCTAGTGCGGTCCTCTCGTATACAAATCGCCCCAGACTATACGCGAGCTTTTTCCTCTGGTGAAGACTCGAAGGTGCCGGTGCCTGTGGGATAGGATGTTGACAAACGGGTCCGGGCCTGTTTGGTTGGTTCCGCAGCCGCGCCGCACATACGGCACACCACGGGAGCCAAACACCGCCGCTGCACTTAGCCACAGTTTTGACGCGCGCCACGTCCGGTAGTGCAAATTGCGCGTCGTAGCACGTCAATTGTTGGGCGGCCGTTCTGTCCGCTGCGCTTGCTGCGCGACCACAGTTGTGGAGGCAGCCAAAGCCCTATAATCGTAGCCGCCCCGGCCTAGCCCAAAGAAAGCTTACACATAAGGATAAGGATTTAGTCACTTTGCTTCATAAAGTTATGGTGTAACTTTCCATCCATCTCACCCCTCCATTCAAGATCCAACGACTTCAGAGTTGTCAGCTAATCAGTTCAGACTTAGCTAGTTTTAGTTGACTGAATTATTCTCTGAACCACACCTCACACATATCCTGCTGAGCACAGGCAGCAACGATACATGGAAATAATGCAGATTTTTTTATTAAGTAACTGATGTCTTCACGTAGTCAACAAATATAAATAATTTTTTTGACAGTCACGGCTGCATTCACATAGTCCACAAGCACTAAACATAGAGAATATTTTTGACATCAACAAGTCATGGCTGATTTCACATAGTCCACAGTCAAGGCTGCATACAGCTAAATATTTCTGCTGCTAGCAACTTCGGAAGCGAAGGAATGGAGTCGTCTTCGTATCGGAGAGGGCAACAATACGGCAGACACTCATGGCATGTGCTTCTGATGCAAGTCTCTGGAGGCTGCGGGCCTGCGGTTGCCGATCAAAAATAGGGCTGTTGCACGGCGTCTATATAATAGCTTTTCAAAAGATTAAAACCGCAAAAATGATGTATTTCTCAATCTCTGTAACCATCTACTGCCCAAAGGCGGCATATAAGCAATAAAATTTAGGTGGGGATTCTCTCCCCTCGGTGACTTTCAAAAAAAAATATTTATGTTAACTATATATAGGTCACTTCACTTGTACAATTAGGCAGCAAAAAACTATAGTTAAGCTGCAAAAGACTATAGTTAGACCACAAAAGACTATAGTTAAATATGTCCGAAATATTTTCTCCCTACGTATGCATATTAGAACTCAAGATTATCAGTATCATAAGTTGGAGCCGCTATGAGGTGAGCAAAGCAGCCTAAACTTCCAATAGCATTGTAATTTTGGAATTCCACAACACACTTTTGTTGCTGTCATCTTTCTCTAATTCAACTTGGGGTTGTAGGACATCATCACCTTGCTTTTTGTTGCTGCCCATGATAGTTCAACAAGTTAGTCCAGAATATTTTTTATAAATATAGAACTGAATGGCAATAGCATAGACAAGTGTGCAGGTTGCAAGTTTTACCTTTGCTTTCTTTTTTGCTGGTGCAGGAGATTTAGTTAGCTTACGTTTACATTTGTGTAACTTATCTAACCAAGTTCTCTGTCTCCTTATTTTTTTGGGCTGAACCTCTTTTTTCTTCAGCTTTGCAGCACCCAAAAGTTCATCACTTTGCTGCACATTTGGGTCAATATTTTCTTGGACATTACATATGTTTTCATACATAGCACTAGTAGATAAATTCTCTAGCTGTGTACCAAAGCAATCAAGTGCATTGTCGATCAACAAACACCGTTCTGGAGAGCTAGCTTCTTTGTATGCTATATTGAGGAACTTGCGGGAAAGGTGCCTGTACCGAAGCTGAGCTTCTAGGTTTGGATTTTCTACCACGTTTCTTCCTTGCCTATCTAGGATACTTCCATTGCGTGCATCTCTAGTCCATCTCTTTAACACATAATCTGTTGGCAATATCTTTATATTCATCAAATCAAGAACCTTTATATCATGTGCACATAATATTCCAGTGGAGTTACACCGTGACTCTATGAAGCAAAGTCACTGAATCCATCGACGCATCGTCAGCGACCCTGCTGGACGCCTCACGTCCTGGCAGAAGGGTAACCAAGAATGTTGCCAGTGGAGAAGGGTCCGGTACAGCAATGGGACGGGCCATGTTCTCAAGCTTCTACTACGCCACGTGAATAATTATGGTGACTATTCTGAAATCACCGTCAGTGAATATACACCGCCTTTGGTCGGAGAGATAAGTCCTTGGCCTATTCTGAACCATCTCGAACACCTTGATCTAAGCGTGAATGGACTTGAGGGGGCAACTGACCGTATTCCCGAGTTCTTGGCCTCTCTACAGAACCTCAATTATGTTGTCACAATATACAAAGTATATACAATAAAATTCTATATAAGTGTATAAGTACTTAGGGAGTCGGGTGTGTAACATGTACCCGGATCTGATTGAGAATTCATGATAAGTTTAGAGTGTTGGATGAATAATTTGCAAGTACATAAAATAAAAAAAAACTCTATATATGTGATGTAGAAAATCTTATGTGCAACACTGTTTTACTGCTCTCCACGTGTCCGAACTCAGCTTCATGGAGCGTTCTTCTCCGCGGAAAAATCGGGCGGTCGTCTGGACCATGCAGGCGGCCTACAATCATGCATGATGGTGACATGAGACGGCATACGATCTATGTTGTACTTGTACGACGGATATCACGCGTGAGAGAATTTTTTCCTCCATAGGACAGTCCGGTTTCCATCACTCCTATTGCGGTCCAAGTTACAACGACAGGTGCGGTGCATCCTCGAAACGACAAAAAAGAGAAATGGGACCAGGCCCTCTGGCTTGCTTCATTCTTGTAGTAGATTCAAGATTGCTTTTCTTTGATTGGGAGCAAACAGCCAAGACGCGCAGTGCGCGGCCATGGCGACATGGCACCGAGCGTTGCCTACACACGTGTGTTTTCATTTCCCCCTTCTGGTTCGGTTAAAAGGTCCTCAAGGGACAAGCCAATCCAAACACCGAGACATGGCCGCTGAGGTTGATCAAACATCAAAGAGTGGCTGCCATGTAATCAGCTGTTGTTCGGGTTGCGATTGGTTAGCCGTTTTAGCTTAGAGCAACTCTAACAGGGTCCTTATTTGAATCCTAGTTAAATATTGGTGCTTAGATTAAAATTACAACTCTAACAGGGATCTTACTTGATCCATCAAATTTGGGTGGGCATCCAAATCCTCCCTCCAATTCTCGTTCCTGAGGGCTCTAGACAAAGCACCAAGAGCGCCTATGCAATACAATTCCAGGGAACCTTTAGTAAACTGAAAATGATGCCCATATGGAAAGCAAAGGCAGAACCAAAATGCAAATTTTTCGCTTGGACTTTGCTGCATAAGAAGATAACTAACGGCAAACAATTTGATGAAAAAGGCAATGGACAAACCACCCAATATGCAAGCTCTGTGGGAGCGAGGCAGATACGCAGACACACTTACGTAAAGATTGTGTTTTTTCAAAGCAAGTTTGGGCGAGTTTAAAACAATGGCTTGGTTTAGCAGTGATTGACACAGTGAGAACATAAGGATCACTGCACAACTAATGGTCAAGATGCCAATCAAAGTTTGACAGACGGCAAAGAAAAGTTTTTAATGGCATCATTATATATTTTTGGTGGAACATTGGAATGAACAGAATCGTAAAACTTTCCAGAATACTTCAATGCAACCGAGACAAGTGGCCTTTCTTTCCAAGACGCATCACTTGGCGACAAGATCCAATGCGCAAACTGATTAGACGCATTAGTGTAGATTAACGCCCTGTTCGTTTAGGCTTGTTTGTCTTATAAGCTATGGCTGAAAATACTGTTGGCTGATTTGGTGTAAGAGAAACATATTGTTCGTTGGCTGATAAGCCATGGCTTATAAGCCGAATACGACCAAGCGAACAGGCTGTATGTTTCTTCGGTTTTGTGGTCTTCAGGTTGCTGTTTTTCTGTTCAGAGGAGTCGCTTTTCTGCTTTTGCCCCACAGCGTGTAGAGTTGGGTAATCTTTTTTTTTTGCCTGCACCTATGGTTGGCGACGGGTCTAGAGTCATTTATGTAAGCTTGTAATTCTGTTTTTTCTTTTCCTCATCTAATAAAAATATGGCAAAATCTTTTGCCGCCTTTCGTAAAACACAATTTCATTCGTTTCCGTGCGCGCGCGACTCCTCCAGCGGTGCCCGACTTGCACCCGTGGTATGCATGACTCCCCGCTTGGCGACGCGACTCTCTTCCTCCCCCAATGGCTCTACTCGATCCCTCCCCCTCCCCACGACGCCTTCCCCTCCCCGACGCCTCGATTTCCTCCCGAAGGTGCGACTCACTCGCCTGGCGAGTCCTAGGTGTTTTGTCCGAGTAGGTCAATGATAATAGGGTTCTATATGTCATTCTCTGTAAGAATGAATTTGAGAGTCACTGTAAGAGTGCAGTCTACAAATAGGAGAGCCCTCAAATGTAGAGTAAGGGCTCTGTTTTTTAGGGCTACTGCCTTGGTTAATTTAGTTGGTTTTTGGCAGGTTTCTGTCTCAGGCGTTTGTTTCTTCTCGGATGATGTACCTCATGCTGTAACGGTGGTCTTTGGTAATGCTAAGGCCGGGCGATTTGGCCTCGAAATCTTAAAAAAAAAGAATGGCTGCGATCAATTTAAGGGACAAATCAATAAAGGGCGAGACATTTTTTTTTATGTTTTAATGAACCTGAGAATCTCATGCCGGTGATTAGTAGTGGAAAACACCACAGATACATGCATGGCTAGTTGGCTACTGAGGTCGATGAAATTCAGACTTCAGAGCTTGCTCGTCGTCGGTGCTGATCCTCCCCTCAGCAGTTTGGATTTGGAGCCCATGGCTTTAGCCTGGTTTCGCAGAAGGACCTTCTGCACCTTCCCCGTCGCCGTCTTGGGCAGCTCGGGCACGAACACCACCGTGCGGGGTACCATGTAGCGCGGAAGCCTGGCGCGGCAGAAGGCGATCACGTCCTCCTCGCCAACGGCGTCGGCGCCATCCCTTAGCGTGACGAACGCGCACGGCGTCTCGCCCCAGTACTCGTCCGGCCTCGCCACGACCGCTGCCTCCGCCACGGCCGGGTGCGCGAAGAGCGCCGCCTCCACCTCGATGGTGCTGATGTTTTCCCCGCCGGAGATGATGATGTCCTTGGAACGGTCCATGATCTTGACGTACCCGTCGCCGTGCCTGACTGCCAGGTCCCCAGACCGGAGCCATCCACCGGCCAGTGCCTCCGCCGTCGCCGCGGGGTCCTTGTAGTAGCCGCTCATCACCGTGTTGCCACGGAGCACAACCTCCCCCAGGGTGCGCCCGTCCGCCGGCACGCTCCGCATCGTGACGGGGTCCTTGACGTCCACCTCCAGCCCCAGGTGGTGGAGCCCCTGCCGGGCCCTGAGGCTCGCCCGCTGCTCCGGCGGCAGCGCGTCCCACTCGGGCTTCCACGCGCAGAACGTCGCCGGGCCGTAAGTCTCCGTCATCCCGTACCCGTGGATGACGAGGAACCCGAGCGCCTCCATCCGCAGCAGAACCTGCGGCGGCGGCGGCGCTCCGCCGGCCTTGACGATCACCGGCCTCCCCCCGCGGGCGGGAAGCGGCAGCGGCCTGCGCTCCTCCGCGGTGGCGTTCACGATCATGCTCAGCACCGTCGGCGCGCCGCCCATGTGGGTCACGCCGTGCCGCGCGATGCTGTCGAAGACGGCGGCCGCGGTGACCTTGCGCAGGCAGACGTTGGTCCCGCCCGTCGCCGCGACGCCCCACACGAGGCACCAGCCGTTGCAGTGGAACATGGGCACGGTCCACAGGTACACCGGCGGCGTGCCCACCATCTCGTTCATGATCACCGTCGCGATGCTGTTCAGGTAGGCGCCACGGTGGGTGTAGACGACGCCCTTGGGCCTCGACGTCGTCCCTGACGTGTAGTTCAGGGCTAAGGGCTCGTTCTCGTCCGCCGGCCACCGGATTCGGAAGTCCGGCGACCCACCGCTGCTGATGAGAGCCTCATACTCGTAGTGATGGAAAGCTTTCTCATTGGCGGTGGCGGCTTGAGATCCATCATGGGGTGGTGGTGATTCGTCGAGAAGCTCTTTGATTAACACCACAAGGGGAGGTTTAGCTCCGGTCTTGGACACGAGGCTGAGAGCTTGTTTTGCAACGTCGAGCAGAGCGTAGTCGACGAAGATGACCTTGGCATCCGAGTGCTGCAGCAGGACAGACGCCATGGTCGCGTCCAGGCGCGAGTTGAGCGCGCAGATAACAGCCCCGGCCATCGGGATGCCAAAGTGGAGCTCGCACATCGCTGGAATGTTTTGCGCGAACACGGCGACCTGTACAAAACAAAAGCAGTTCACAGTCGCCACAGCACCGTCAGCACACCTTACGATGCTAGTACCTCCGTACCAAAGGCGGCTCCTAAAATCTGAACTCGTCGATTTGTTAAACTTAATTAATGCCATGTTTGTTTATATTATACATATATACTCCTTGTCAAAGGTAAATGTCAGAATGGAGGTAGAAATGGCTACAGAATTACAGAAGGCAGGGAAGGATAAAAGCTTCAGTCTCCAAATTACCACGTCGTGCCCCGCGACGCCGAGCGCAGCGAGAGAGGCGGCGAGGCGCAGGCAGCGCCGCCGTGTCTCCCGCCAGGATTTCATCGGCGCGCTGCCGAGGCGGCCAGAGGACACGATGGCTGGTCGGTCGGGGTAAACCAGAGCTGAGCGCTCAAGGAAGCTGATGGGCGTTAGAGGCGCGTAGTTGGCGGTGCATAGCACTGTGCCTTCCATCGCCGTGGCCCAGTGGCGAAGCTAGAGCAAATTAGAGGGTAATGCACTTGGCTCATGGGTGCATAGACAAGTCTAATAGGAGGTGCATATAAGGTGAAAATTTAATCGAATACACTGTTTTTGCAGTTTTTTGGTAGTGCATTTGCACCCCCTAGCCACGAGCTACCTTCGCCCCCGCGTGGGCCTCGTGGCGTTTTCAGACCAGAGACTTGGGATAGAAATGGCACGACAGCTGACTGTTTGTAGTTGCTGCTCCATCTCTGTCCGTTGCCGATAGATGATGACCTCTCCTGTTTTTCTCTCCACAGATACACGTATTTGCACCGTAACTTTTATTTGTTACAACTTTTTTTTTTTAAATTGAGCTATTTAATGGTGCTACCTGTGGTTCTCGGTATATGCTAAACCCTTGGTGGCTAGTGCAGAGAAGTGCTAAATCTGATGCTTTGGAACTGGACAAACAAGGACGCATACAGTGATAGTAGTCATATATCGGATACAAACTAGTGTCGACCCTATAAAACAACCCAGCGTCTCTAGGAAGCATCATAAGTCCTTGCATGAGTCCCAAAGCCGCTCAGGAAATTTTGGTAGCCAGTAGACCTACAGTCAGCCCAGCTTAGGCATTTTTGGTTCTTAGCTAGAAATGCAACCGATACGGCCGCGCAGAAGCGGAACGAATTTGAGTGTCTTCCTAGATCCGCCAGCTATCCATCAATGGAGAAAAAGCCTATATAAACACAAGCCAAAGAATTATGAAAGCCAGATACCACAAGAGAACGTAAAGCCAATAGCCCAGCCAGCATGAGTGGACCATACGCCTAATCACCGCCACGCATCAGGCACACGAGTCATGTCACGAGACACGAAGGTACCACCCCATAAGCTATTGGTGGAGGAATGACGAAAGAAAAATCAACAAATCCCCCCATCGAACGAAACCGGGGTGTAAGCATCAGCATCAAACATTGCTCCACGTGATGCAGCAACAGTGAGTGCGGACGTGACAGAAAGAACAATCGCCTTATAGTCTGGCCGACCATTCCGGCATCATAATGACACAAGTCAAGCTGTCATTTCCAGTACTGCGGCAACAGGGGCGATAGTGGCTAAAACCCAACATAATTTCGCGCAATTAAGCCAATTCGCCCTGCTGTATGCAACTTCACGGCGAATAGCCGTGAAAAAGGAAGCAGAAGGAAAGACACTGATTGCACAGTCCTGCCAATACATTCAACCAAAGGAAAGGCAAAGCAGCCCTACGTAAGAAAGCAAAAAGATAAATAGCATGACGTAGATTTCCATCAATGCGAAGTCTACCGCATCTTTAGTAGAAAAATAAAAATGAATCAAAAGACCATTTTTACCACACAACCGACATTGTTGCCTCTCATAAATCATGCTTTCACCACCCGTGCCAAAAAGGTTTGGGGAAGGCACAATTTTTCTTTAAGTTACACAGAGGGGCTGGCATCGGAGCCCTATCGCGCGAGCTTTCGCCACCCCTACCGAAAAGGTGGAGGGAAGGCGTCGTTTTTCTTTAAGTTACGCCGAGGAGCTGGCATTGGAGCCCTATCGCGCGTGCTCTTGCCAACCCTGCCGAAAAAGGTTGGGGGAAGGTGTCGTTTTTCTCTAAGTTACGCCGAGGGGCTAGCATCAGAGCCCTATCGCACGAGCTTTTGCCACCCCTACAGAAAAGGTTGGGGGAAGGCGCTGTTTTTCTCTAAGTTACGCCGAGAGGCTGGCATCGGAGCCCTATCGCGCGAGCTTTCGCCACCCCTGCCGAAAATATTGGGGGAAGGCACCATTTTTCTCGAAGTTACGCCGAGGGACTAGCATCGGAGCCCTATCGTGCGTGCTTTCGCCACCCCTGCCGAAAAGGTTTGGGGGAAGGCGCCATTTTTCTCTAAGTTACGCCGAGGGGCTGACATTGGAGCCCTATCGCGCGTGCACCCCTGCTGAAAAGGTTGGGGGAAGGCGCCGTTTTACTCTATGTTACACCGGGGGGCTGGCATCGGAGCCCTATTGCGCGTATACGAAGGTTTAGGCATTCCGCATCCGACAAGATCCGTCAAACTTTAATTCAGCATACGTGAAAGCAATAACTTTTTGTATTCATCAAAACTTAGGCGCCGTCGTCATACATTCTATAGTAAAAGTTATATCAGTGTTTTTGTAATTAATTGGTTCGTTGTCGACCGGCTCCTCCTTAGCCTCCCTTATCCTAGCCGTGCAACCGGTGTGCGGTTCACCTTGCGCGCGCCGAAGCCGTCTGCAAAGGCGACGTCTGTTTGCCAAAGTAGACGGATCCAGCTAGGCAAAGCATCGCTGTAGATGCTCCTCCTTTCAACGCATTCGTAGATACCGCAATCCCAAGAAGTCAGGAAGCCGGGTGGTTCGCATTTTTTGATCGTACCGAACCCATGACGCACCGCCAATGAAAAAGTCACCGCAACGGGTCATGAGAGGATTAACGTCTAACAGCAGAGCTTTCGACCCCGGGCACGGGAGATGCAGCAGGCAAAGCCGCAGGCGAAGCGTCACCACCATCACGAGGGCCACGCATCTCGTTCAGGTACTTCTCCACCATAGCACGAATCGCCCGCCTTTCCTCCGAGGTCTGGCGAAAAGAAAAACAACAACGTATTAAAACTGGCAAAGGAGACTATTAGCAAGAACGAAAGATGCGGCGAAAAACTGATGAAACTAGTCATCACCTTTCCGCGCGACAAAGCAGCGCTCATAACGGCCATGTCATTACCACCCGCAGACCAGAACGAATCAAAAAATTTCTTGCTAACTGAGTTAGCCTCCGCCGGAACTTGCCAGTAGTGATCGACATCTGACAAATCAAGATGCTCCAGATGATCGCAGCTAGCTTCGAAAAGGCCGGCACTCACAGCTTTAAAGGCAGTTACGGCGGCGAAATCGCGGCCCAAAGTCATATGGCCTTCAAGAGCCGAAACCTCACCGCGTAACCACTCCAGGAGTGAATCGGCTGTGTACTGCACCGGAAGCTGCGTATCACAACCAATGCCTTCAAGGCAAAGGCGATACTGAGCCGCGATTTCTTTCGCTTTCTTTTTAATCGAAGCAGCCTCATCAATTTTTGCCTGGTGCACCCTGGCTAGATCATCTTTCAGCTTCAAATGGTTTGCCTCCACCGTCTTTCGCAGCCCTCTTTCGTCATTCGTTTTCTTTCGGAGATTCTCAATCTCTTTCTCCAACTCGCCAATGCGACGAGCTTTCGCCGCATTGTCATCCTCGATCTGCTGGCGATAGAGCAGACTCTGCTGCCGAATGCTCCGGCCCAAAATAATAGACTGAAAGCACGAAAAGATTAATCGATTCTGAAGCAAAACAAAAACAGCTTTTGGGAAGGCAACTTACGCTGGTAATCATTGGCTTCCACCAATTTGGAGTCCTCCATATCGAGCAGGTCCCTTTCGACCTCGGGGGCACGAAAGCGGGAACAGAACTCCGAGAACTTAGCAGCGGCAGCACTACTGGCGGGAAGGAGCCCGATGCCGCGGAAGTTGAATCCGCACTCCAGATCGGCGTCCGACGGAACTCCTAGAGAACGAGCAAAGGTGGTAAGATTCTTCTTTCAAGGAATCCAGTTCACCAGAAGAGCTGGATCCCGTGTAAAACCGCATCTCACCATAATCCCCCGGCTTCGGTGCCAGAACCAAATGTCCCAAAAGCCGCCCTTCTACCATGTCTTGATTTAACCGAATGGATTCACGGTAGAAGCGTGTCTTACCTCTTGCCATCTCTACGGCTTTTTCTTTCACCGATGAAGAGGAGTTTTTCTCCTTACCACCAGCAGCATCGGTTGCCTTGCTTTCCAAAGTCTTCCATGAGGACACAGACTTATGGCGTTTCGTGCCGTCGTCGTGAACGGCGGCATCCACCCCACGATTCTGCTTTTTCGACAGCAGCCTGGCGACTGTAGGAGGGTCTATGACGGACAAATCGTCGGTCCAAAACCTTGGGAGGAGCCATCAAGTCTAGGCTCAGAAGCGAATTAACCTAAAACAAGTGCGGAAGCAAACAGGAAACGGAGAATCAGTTATTGAAACCCAAAAGCCATTCCTTTAAACAGAAAAATATAACTATCTTCCCACCCCAAACTCACCCTATCACTAAACTAGTTTCGCCCGTGTATTCACCAAGGTAAAAACAAACCTTCCGGCTTTTCTTTTCGTCGGGTTTTGCCAGTTCACGCCCGATCCGCACATCAGTGGGCTCACGGGTTTTGCGTTTGCCGGCAGCCTTGCCGAGGCATTCCGACCGCTGGCTAGCCCCCGAAACATGCTTGCTGGCGTCTTTCGCAGCTTTTTCCTCTAGAATGGGCCGGTCTTCATACACCACCCCCATCAGGTCAAAAATCTGATTTAGCCTCCTCTTCGAGCCAAGGCTGGTAATCTTAGCCTCCTGCTTCTTGTTAAGGTAGGTCTCACAAATCTTTTCGGCCTAGCTTTCGACGTAGGCAACGAAAGACTCATCAGTCCTAAAATCTTTCAGCCTTCGGCATTCTATAGCCGGACCTTTGTAACCATTCAAATCAACTATATTCTCAAACTTTGTAAAAAAACAGAGTGGCATCCGGCCAAGCGCTACCCACTCCTCGACCAGATCCCTGCTAATTTACCACTGGGAGGTGAGGACGAAAGCCTGCCCGCTCCTCACCTCATTCGGCTAGGAAGTCAAAAACGAAGGCATACAAACACCAGAAAGCGGAGTTAGTTTTGAAACCAACGGCAAAACCTTTTCCCTACCATTCGCTACAGCATCAACAACCTCTGAGTCAGTGCACACGCGGTGGTAGAACCAATATTGTGCCCACTATGGCCATTTGTTCCGAAAGGTTGGCACGAGCCTTTCGCCACCTTCTAGTTTCTTAGGAACAAAGATATAAGCCCCAAAATCCGAATATACCTCTTCATTCATATCTGGATTCTGAATTTTGTTTTGGCGCTGCTGAATCTTGTAGAACC